TAGCAAAAGTGTAGCCAACATAATAACTGTCAGATAATGCCTATAACATGTCAGCCTAAATGCATTGGAATGTTATGTAACATCTCGTTAGAATCATAAGAATGTGACTTATTCTAGTCAGTCATTAGGCAGCGTCATCACAGCCATCCAGCTGTGAAGGAGCAGATTGCAACCAACTGAAACTTCTCCCGTGTGCAAAGCGTGTAGGAGAACGCCGAGGCTGATGCGAAAGCACCAATGGCCTTATCTAGAGCTATAGTGCTTGGTTTGTCAGGTCTGGGCTACTGCAGAAACATGGCGGCATCTCTCTCTATGTAGATATAACGGCTCATTCTAAGGTAACAAAAATATAACTATTCTTATTTTTCGGTGATTTTGCACTGAAGAATACTTATTAATATTATATTCCATTTCTGCCAATGGATCCCCCTAAATGCTACACACTGTACCTTTAATTTAGAGTGTTCTTTCTTTCTGAGTACAAGCTCACTCACTGTCCTCCGTCTGGCAGATCCAGGCCCATGATGCGGTCATGGGGCTGTAGTACAGATGTGTAGGCTGCAAAGTTAGCGGGGGATCCAGAGTACAGCTGAACGTTGACGCCCCACAGACTTGGGTCCAGACCGAAGGCGAAGAGTGCTCGCTTCTGACACAGCAGCTCAATCTTGTCAACGATCTCTGCACCTCCATAGTACCTGAGAAAGACAACATTTTAAAGTATCTTATTATATTGTATTATTTTATCTCGTATTTTGTATCGTATCGCATTATTCTGTATCGTTGCGTATTGCATCGTTACATATTCTATCGTTAAGTGTTATGTCTTGTATCGCATTACACCATTATGTATTGTATCGTATTACATTGTTATGTATTGCATTGTATTATTTCATAGCGTTTCATATTGTATCGCATAACAGTGTATTATGTTCGACAGTACTGTATCATATTATGTTGAATTGCATCATATAAATTGTAGTTTGGGGGAGTAAAATTGCCATACAATTAAATTTAACAAAATTGTACACTTGGGCTTCTGAAAATCGTTCAAAATGTTATAATAATTGTAACAATTTATTTTGGAAAGTGCATTGTCCGTGTCGTCACCTTTGTCCTGGGTATCCCTCAGAGTATTTGTTGTTCAGACAGGAGCCCTGAGCCTCGAGCGCTGCACGGCTGCAGAAGTTCTGACAGGACAAACAAGCACAGTGTCAAGATCCACAGCCACACGCCGAACATTTTATTTATATCATGCTTATATATTCAGAACACTGTCACCATCCAAATACAGTATAACCTTTTTTTTCCTGTTACCTGACGAAGGGTGACTGAACACCCCTGCTCTTTTTCAGCAAGGCCCAGCTACACAGCACAACCACAGTCCAAACTTTACTTGTCCAGTATGCAATTTACTTCAACTAAACCAATTATAATGACAATAAGGCAATTTCCAGAGTCAGAGGATGATAAGCAAAGATATTTTAATCTGTTGAATTTGTTTCATAAATCTTACAGAAAGTTCATCACAGTCTTTTCTGGAAACTGCAAAACGGATTAGTTTATCTCAAAATAATAAAGTTTTAGAGGTGATATATTCAAATTAAAAGAGAAATATGGAGGAATCTAATACTGAATCCCTGTGGGGTTCAGCACTGCCATTTTCCCAAAGACACTTGCGAGTCAGAGGAGTGATGGAGCTGCAGAAAAGGAAATGAAAGTAAATGAATTTTTCTCCCCGTCTCAGTCAGTTTTTTTCTCTCCCACTCTCACTTCTGCTCGTCTTCTCTCTCTGTCTCCCTCTCTGGCCTCCTCTGCCTTGTTATTATACTAAACCTGTCACTGTTCTGGGATCCCTCAATCATTCCATTGGGATTTAAACCCAGTCCCCCATGTGACACAAAACTCTCTCCATGACTTTTCAAAACACTGTCTCCGCACACACACACACACACACACACACACACACACACACACACACACACGATCACCCCCCCCCCCCCTCCTCTGTCTCAACTTAAAATGTGGAGATCAATGGTAGAAATCAGTAAGGGAACCTAATGGGATCACTTGGCTGTGTTCCTGAAAAAAAAAAAAAAGGTGGCTCTCCATTGGGAGTCAGCCTGCTGCAGTGACTGCCAACACACGCACGAGAAGATGAAAATCTTTTAGATGTCATTGGGATTGATAATTGCTGGAGAGTAGTGGCATGAGAGCTCCCTTCTTTTCCCACAGCTTCCACTTAGATGGAATCACTGACTAGCGAGGAGAAAAATGCAAAGGAAATCTCTGAAGAAAACAATAAATTCTAGAAACTACATCTCTGGTGACTTGCGGTTGCGCTGTCGTGTGTTGTGGCTGGCAGCAACTTAAATTGGCCAAACCAATGCTTGAAAATCTTTCTCTCTCTCTCTCTCTCTCTCTCTCTCTCTTTCTCGTTTGAATACAGGAACCAGTGGGGGATTAGAGCTCGCTAAGAGACGGCTCCCCTCCATCTGACAGCCAACATCCAATAACCCCGATCCCTCCCTTCATCCCTTTACCCATAACCCTTCATCCTTCGACCCCCCTCCCTACATCCGTCATCCTCCTTCCGGACCCTTAATCCATCTCTCCATCTTGTTATTGACATGGTCTTTGTTGAACATCAACACTCGACTGCCTCTGTCTCTCTCCTCTTTACCTCTGATGCGATGAGCTCCAGTCCCCGACACTGCCTTTCCTTCTCCTGCTGCAGGAGGCTCCACATCTCCGGGTCGTCCTGGGCCAGGTTCTCCTGCCCCGTCCATCCGTCCGCGCTGCTGAGGCCTCGCCTGCACGACTCCACTGTGACCTGCCCTTCTTGGCCCAGACATCCTGAGACCCTGAGGAAGAGGGGCTGCACGGGGCGGTGGGTAGACACACAACATTACTATTTTGGCCAACAACTACATGTCCACTTCTTAAATAGTTGTGAAACTAAGCCCATAGCATGCCTAAGCCCATAGCTTATTTACCATACATCTGCCATCACTCCTCATGCAGGCACACTCATTATTTCCTAGCTGTTATTGTTCGGCGCTGTCAATCATATCAGCTGTCTAGATCAGCTGGTCTCTCTAGCCACTAGCACAACGACACAAGGACATCGTTAGCCTATCATCTGGCTGCTGTCTTTCTTTAAATATGATTGTGTCTCTACCTTCAGTTGGGTTCAAGCTGCTGTTGCGCAACCCTCCACCTCCCCATCTCCGCCCAATCTTCGCAGATTCATCAACTTCATCAACTCATCATTCTATCAACCTCATCAGCCACCATCACCACCAGTGTCTGGACTCCACGGGGGGATTTATATTGTTGCCGCTCAGGGCAATCACAACTCGATCATAAATCTCCTCGTTGAGTTCAAGCTCCAAAGAATTTCTGTGTAACTCATTAACGCAGCATCCGTCATAATAAACGTTAACTACTAATCATTCACTTGTCTCTCCTGATGGAACTTACTGTTCTGTTTAACGACTCAGGGTGGTTAATAAAAACCTTCATGAGGAGACACAGGATTTGATGCAACTCTCCATTGTTATAAACTGTTTGTGCAGAGCAAAACTTTCTGAGGCGTTTTGTTGTTCTTTTCCAGGATTACTCCTTTGGTGTCTTTTGAAAACCTCAGAAAGAGTGAGCGTGTGCAAAACACACTTTCATCACTCAAAATTATAATACATTGCACCGGGGGTTTGGAAACCAGGGAGTTAGAATAATGGGTCTTTTGATGTTCTAAACAATCCATTAAATGAAAGGCGGTGAAAATAAAAAGTGCTATTCAGTGGAGCGGTTATGGAAAACCTTGGACATGAAAAGTGATATGTGGCTGGCCACGCAGGCAGTGACTTATTTATCAGGGTTTTGTTTGTTGAAGGCAGCTTGTAGCTGCGTGATAGTTACAGAACCCTTCCTTTGGCTTAATAGAGCGATTACTGTTCAGGCATAATATATGTTGAAGCTAGTCTCCTTTCATCTATTGTGTTCATTATGTTTTCTAAGCTTTGAGTAAATTAAGTCTTACACAAAAGGCGGAGTGTACAGTCAACTTTCCTTCAAATACAAATATTCTAGGACAAACAGCAGCACTCTTCTTATTTGAGGACCTGCAATAATCACAGTTATCAGACAAATACGGTGACACTTACTCAACTGGACTGACAAATTAAAAACACAACACAAAGTCGGGCACAACGGGCTTCTTCAAACCACACATTTCCTTCGTGGTTGAGCGGACCCGGGTTGACGAGCTGACCTACTGTGCTGTAAGAGGTGATTTAGTTACAACAGCTCTTAGGAAGCAGGGTGAGAGATCTTCTAACACAGATGCAAGTGTAAATGTGCATACATTTAAAAAAGCTCTAAAATAAATGCATAATGTACTCACCCGTATTGTTTGCCGTAACGACAGAGAAAGCATGCCTGTGACAGTTGAGCGCTGGGAAAATAGAAAACTTTTCAAAGAGCAAAGGGTGAAAGTAAAATCAGGACTGGAGGAAGGCCAAGGACATTTGTACTTTGTGTCACTGATAAAAGTAACTGCAACAGTAAATCATCCGTTTCATCCCACTCTGCGTCAGAGTTCTTTGAAGAAGAAATATCTTATCCGTCTGTACAATGAACAGGCAAGGTGTTTATTTGATAAAAAATACGACACAATTTTGTCTCTAAAGATGTATCTATTTCACGTCTTCACTTCTGTCAATGCATATTCAGAAAACAAAACAATACTACACACAAAGTGATATGGTAAATTAATTCGCTGCTTTTTGTTCAAGACAATGTGGAGCTTTTAGCAGATGAGTGTAGTTTCAGACAACACAAGGCTCACGTTATCAATCTCATTAATCTCATTGACACATTAACACAAGGAACTGCACTCACTGACGTGTTGAAAATAGTATTTAACAGCGTATAAAAACAGTCAATCTCAAGCCTATTTTAAAAACTGAACACATGGTTTTTGAAAGATGTATGAGAAGTCAGTGTATGATATCTCAGAATTGATCATCCGAAGTGCTGCTGGTTTTGCTCTGTCTGAAAATTGTGGTCCGGACAGACTTTCTGCACCAGCCTGTAGTCGGTGCCGGTGAAAGCGATGAAGATGCAGATAACCTTAAACGGTTTGGCGCAGATCCAGGCTGCTTGGGACTGGGTGTTTTCTGAGTAGCAGGTCTGCCCCGGGTCATACATGCAGGGCTTGGTCTTCTTGGACCGGTTGGTTCTCTGGTATTCGATCCGGCAGTTGAGTTCGGTCACCATCATCATGTCCTGCTGCAGCTTCTGATGGTCGGGAGGAGTAGAGCTGGTGGACTGAGGTGGGCTCTGGAACTGGGAGGTCAGATCTGGAACCAAGACCAAGGCTTTGGTGTGAACGCCCTGAGCCGCTGGATCCAAAACCTCCCATCCTACCGCTTTGGAGGGTGGGACGATGCTGACGGATATGTTCCCCAGACGGGACGAGTTGTGGCGGAAGTAGACGCTGAATGTGCCGTTGATGTGGTCAACGATTTTCCCCGTCACCAGGAGGCTGAACTTCACTGTTTTCACGTTAAAGTAAAAATTGCCCCAGCCCAGGATCTTCTTGGTCTTTGGGGAAGTTTTTGCCGCCGGTTTGGATTTAGGAGGGGGGCGGTACAGATACTGATCAAGGGCTTGGGAAAAGTTCTGTGGCCATCCGTACGGGCCGAGAGAGCCGTAAGCAGGTGTTTTTTGTTTGGTGGAGATGATCTGTAGGTCTTTGAAGATATGTTTAACTTTCAAATCAGCTCCCACAGTATCTCCTGCGACTCCTTCTTCCTCTCTCCATTGTTGGCTCTGAAACTCCAAGGGCTTGGCTGTTTCTTGGACCTGTGGAGAGCAAAATGTAAATTAAGAAAAGACTTAAAATTCAAGTGCTCTTTTTTCTTAAATTAAAGGGTAAATTCTCACAAATCCCTGAAAAGCACATTTCTCATTTAACGTTACCTTTATTCCACAGTGGTAATCATGCAGATGGTTTTGTTTTTTATTTAACTTTACGGTGCTGAACTCAAAAAGAGCATATCTATTGCCTCCACACAGCGTCGGCTGAGCCTGCGGCTCGCAGCTAACAGCGCTAACAGCGCTAACAGCGCGAACAACGGCAACCGATAATGCTCTGAATATCGTATAGAGAACCTTTAAGTTTGGAGATATCCGTTTCTGCAACTGCCTCAATACAATGGAGATTACGGGGCCATGTTTGTGGTGCTAGTTTGTACTGAGAAACCTTCCCAATTAAGAAAACACTGACGGTAGGGATTGTCCAGAGTAACGGGGACACTGTTTCTTGGGAGATGTGTTGCTGTTGACTTTCTATGCCGTTAACACCACAAACAATATCCCACTCACCTCTGTTGTTTTGGGATGGATGCTGATAACTCAGGGACAGATATCTCGAAACCTGAGCAAATAAAACCAAACCTCTTCATAGCCAGGCACTACTAGATTTAATGTACAACTTATCTTTTATGATCTTGCCTTTCTGTGATACAATTTTTCTTGGTCCATTTCTCCAACAAAAGCAGACTACTGACATCATACAATAAATTGGTTGATGGTTTTAAAGGTTTCCAGGAATTTCTGATGTATCTCTTCAAATCATACTGACAAATAATTGCTATTGTCCATTTTAAACAGAGTACGGGGTCTGTGTCGGTTCGATACACCCAGATAGCTCAAACAGGGCCAGAAACTGCTCCAGTGGGGTTATTGTCATTCCACATTCATCAGAGGTACTTTAATACTTGCAAATCTTTTTGAAGGGCTCATTCATAATAAATATAGCCTGAGAACAAACAACTCTTCAGTCACCGTATCACAGGATTTGTTTTGTGTAGGATGCATTGTAGAAGGTGACAAGACCGATGAGCGAGAAGAAAGAGGCCTTTAGACCAACAGGACGACCGCAAATGAAGGACAGTTTCCGTGTTGCTGCAGCAGATAATCGATTCAAAGATAATTATGGTTTGATGTCCTCTGAATGAGAATGTCTTAAAATTGACTGTGATCAATAGGTCAGCCCCTTCAGGCAAGGACTACAGTACTACAAGGAGCATACACACATATACACACACACACACACACACACACACGTTGCCTTTAACACATTTTTAATTAGTTATCCTCCTCCATGCTCTCTCTCTCTCTCTCTCTCCCTTGTTCAAACTATCAATCCTTTTTCAATGCCACCTTCATGACGGACTGAATATCTAATTTAAACAACAGCGCTGCATAAAAATAAATATAAGAAGTGACGCTTACTCCATTGAATGTGTCAGTAGTGAGAATTTTATGTGACTGATATTTCTGAAATTAATTTGCAGGGAAGTGTGCAGGCACAATAATAAAATACCAAATTTAACGATATCGAGCAACCAGTAAATGTAAAAACTAATGACTATGCAGTTGAATTCAGGTGTCAAGACTTTATCTCCCATAACACACTTCCATTTTTAAGTGGAAGCGATCGGATGCAGTGTGGGAGACAAGTCAAATTTGTTTATGCCTTTAGAGAATTGAGACATGAGTTGGGCAAAAGGTTCTGTGCACTTGTTTTATAGGACTTGATTTCCATTTTCATTATAATGTGTCAAAGGCAGATTGAGGTTTAGTGTTATTCTCCCCCATATTTCTAAAATACACAGCTCCATCATTCCTCACCAACAGGTGGGACTCACAACACCTCTAACCACCCCAGCCCTGTGTGCCAATCTCCGTCTTCTCCTGTAACCAAGTCAGCTCTAGCTGTACCTATTGTCACAAGCCTGAATCTCCAGCTGAGCTGTGCTGTGCTCACCTTCACTAATTAGAGCCCACTGTGTGACAGCCATGTCATTGGCTCTGTGTCAAGATGCCAGCACAGTGACTGCAACTGAGCAACAGCAGTGGAGTGGATGCACGCACAACACCTGTGCAAAGGCACCTGCAGAAGCAGAAAAACTGAGAAACCTGAGAGCAGTAATTGCATTTTATGGGCCCGAGAGAACATTTTTTGCCATTGGCTAAAAAGATTGTTATGGAATATTTCTTATGACTAGTCGGGAGAAGAAAGTGAAGGTTTTCAATCAATAATAAAGTAAACAGAGTCTTGATGAACGATCAAGGTTTGTAAAGTCACTTTATTTGCTTGCAAGCAAAGAGAACCGTCTCACAGACACATTGCAGTCATCTGTAAGAGTGGTCTGCCTAAACAGTCACAATGCATGGACATTTATGCTCAGACAGCTTCCTGTTATCTGCTTAGCTAACAAGAATACACAAAGAACACAATAAAAGGCAGGTCATCCTTCGAGCCTTAGTATACTTCATTTAAGACAACATGAAGGCGCTTCATCTCCTGTTTGCAGATCCCTTTGTTCACAGTTTGCCTTACAATAAACCGTTTAAACACACAGCAGATGATTCCTTTGAGGCCATTGTGACATTGTTAAAATGACTATTGCAGAGACAGAATAGACATTTTTTACCCTCACACATAATATATGCATGCAAAGGTTTACGCCTTTACAACTTCAGATAATGCGTCATAAAGGAAGTAAAAGTATTTCAGACAAAGGATCTCTGTTAGTCAAGGCCTCTCTGTGTCTCTGTCTTGCGAAGAAAGAAACAGTGTACAAGATAACAGATAACAACACACCTGGATACTAAACTAATTAAAATCATCTACTGAAACTACTGTTTGGTGTCTGCACTTTTAGGACTTACATTCTTTAAACCTTCACATGAGACTATGACATATTTTCCCATTACAAGATACTAACTGTGTCCATTTTTCACCACTCAAAAACAAAGTGATGGGGAGATTGAACTTGTCAAACTGACAAAGGCTGCACAATCATAGCTCAGCTAACGCAGCTCAAAATGAGGTTGTTCTGAGGTATTCTTCTGACAGTTTCAATGTTAAAGCTACAGATGCTGCAGTCTGCTGCTCATGCAGCAAAGTAAGTTAAATTAAAGACAAGAGAGCCAATTAAGTTACAAGTATGCCTGAAAGAGAATTACAGACCACAACACTGGAACAAATTAAAATTTGGACGATGGAAAAGACCCATTTGGGCTGAACTTCACCATCTAATAGAAGAGTCAACTTTGATCAAGTCCCCTTGACAGTCTCACATCATAAGATACAACTAGTCTTCAATGCTGAGCCTGCATGAAGAAAAACAGATCACATCAGAACAAAAGCATGTCATTCCTAGAATGAAACAGCATGTCACGAACTATTCAATGGAATATTTTCAAGTTAAATCTGAAATCAGATCAAAACCTTCCTACTTCACACCAGAGCACATGTCAATTAACTCGTTCTCAACTCTGTCTGCTTCTGTCAACTTACATATTATCCTTTAAAACTGCCACAACTGATCATTATTTCTTTCTATATTCTTTCTCAACAGAACGGTTTCAAATCTATCAGAAATTATTGATGCTGATTTACCATTAATGAATTCAGAACCAACATATCCTCAGAAAAGAAACTGACCATTTGATTGGGAAACAATGCAGCAATATATGAGCAGTGGCAGATCTAGAACATGAGGGAATTACCCACAAATTACCTGCAGAACACTTCAGAGAGCCACCTATACAGCATCGTACGTTAATAATGAGCAACACGGAGCAGAAGAGCGGCGGTTCGCTGATCTTACTCACCGCTGAAGGGAGAAGCCACAGACAGGTGATGGCAAAGTTCAAACACAGCGCCCTCATTTTGCAGTAACAGCAGCAACGTTTCTCCACGCAGAGAGCCCGCGTGTCTTCAAGGCAGTCTGCCCAAATTAATAAGTGGTGATTGACTGAGTTTAAGCTTACGCTCACTTTAGAAGTAGAGAAGACTTTCCGCAGCGAGACTCACAAATCCCCAAGATCTGGAGTGAATACTCGGCTCAGTGCGCGCCCCCCCCCCCCCCCCCCCCCCCCCTCTCTCTCTCTCTCTCTCTCTCTCTCTCCCCACTTTTTCTTCCTCTCTCTATCCCCCCCCCCACGCTTCTTTATTTTAACATGACCAAAAATTTGAATAAAGCATTAAATGCCTCTGGAGGAAAATTGTGCTTAGTACTCAATTGAGACTAATTTGTAGTTGGCTAATTGGTAATGTAGAAGCACACACACACGCGGGCACGCACACCCATCACACTTGCCTCCCTGCTCATTTTCACCACCTGGCCGGCCCTTATTATGAATCATCAACCCGGGGAAAGGTGCTCAGGCGGGCACAGTTTGACAGCCCTCCCCGCTGTCCCCGCATACTGCAGCCACGGGGAGGCTGACAAAATGACAAGGGCTCTCTCCGGGAAATGTTCAAATCACTGACAAGTCTGGTGAAATTCTTCCAGTGCCTCAGCTTTTCAGTGGAATTTCAAGCCAACAAATCACTGTGAGTATAGGACACTAACCAACCAGAGAAGTTGTCTTTAATAAAGAATGAGGCCTGCAAATATAGAGACCCATGAAATGTTAAGCTCCTCTTTGTTCAAACAGGCCTTCTTCAACATTTTAGGAGCTTATTAGCCTGCTTCATGTGCAATAATTGATGATTGTGATTGACTTCACATTGAAGCTATACTATTTGACGACATTTCTGATGAAAACATATATCCCATCCGTGAGAAAATCATTAAGATGAAAAAATGCATAGTTAACTGACCAATAGATAATGGCAATGTAACCGGAAATGATGGGTGCGAAACTATAGAGACATGACACAGTTTGAGATCCTAATTTTTGTGTCGGACTTTTTTTGTTATCTTTCTAGTCTTTGTATAGTCATAGGAAAGAACAACACAAGATCAATACAAAAATATTAGATATGTATTAAACTAAATATGCGTAGACATTGTTGTGAAAATGTTCATAAGTGAACATCTTGTTGACATAAAGTATGCAGCTAGAAATAGAGAGCTATGGATGCCCTGAACAGGTACGCCATTATCTGGACCGAAATTCAGTTTTGTTTGCGCATGCGTACGCAGGAGAGCAAACATTATTCTAATTAATGGTGAAAACAGTTCACACCCTCGCTTTATACAACAGACATAAACATCTTAATGCGAAAGGAAGAAAAAGAGTATCTACACTAGGGGCGGTCTTTGTTCAAAGTAGAGGCGTGGTCAGATTACCATACTCCCACAATGCATAGCGCACGTGTGGTAGTTGTAGGCTAAACCGTTTCCATGTAACTCTCATCCACGTTATTTTGGTACCATTCTTAGAGGTATTTGATATATACGGTTTATTTCGGGACTCAATTTCATCAATGGTGGTATTTAAACAAGAAACCCTGAGTTAGTCTTGTAAGGCGGAGAATGGCGTCGGACACTGTCGGTTAGAGAGTACACACTCTTGATTCTCTTCAGATCGCATAAATCTTTCGCCTTTTACTAAAGATTTCCGTGGAGAGGATCAACAAGAGTTTCAACTAATTTTTTGATGCCCTGCGTATGTGGGGCTTCCTAACGGTGTACAAAAACAAAACTTTTGAAGTACCAGCATTAGACAAAGTCACTGCGAGTATTAATATGCTTGGATGTTGGTTGATAAAGATTATCATGGAGAAGTGTTAAAGGACAATAGATCTACCTTTTGATACCCTGCACTAGGCGGGGCTTCCTACTTACGCAATTTAAAACGACGTCATCATATCCAGCGGAGGTCTTAGTGAGTCTGAGTAAGTTGCACAACGTCTCAGCCAGAGCCATCCTGGAAAGCTTTGACACACATTGTCTTCAAAATGTACCTAATCGTATAAATACATCGCTGAGACGCTTGAAATTGCTTTTTAGTCGCCACTGCCTTGAAAACAAAACCTGTGTTTTCTCTGTTCTTTCATTTATTCGCGCTCTATATCTTTGCACGCTTTCCTACTTTGTACAGAATATGTTGCACAATCATTTCCATCGGGAAGAATTAAGTTCGTATCTGTCCGCTTCTCTAAAACAGTGAAGCAGTCCTTTAAGACAGGCATCAAAACAGTTGCTCTACGTGACCACGAGAGGGCGCCACTTAGAAATAAACCCAAACCACAAGAATCCACATCAACGTCTCGACATATCTATCAAGCAGACCAATGTGTGACATTTTCAATGACAAATAATAAAGTTGTGTATCCCCTTACAGTAAAGCAATAAAATATATTTTTATGGCAGCAGAAACTTGTATTTCCGTCCAACAGAAAACCTTTTTTTGCTGAATGTCAACATTAAAATGTTGATTTGAGGAATTTCAACCGAAATGTAAAACACCCGAGCTACATGCATGACTTCATGGACTGTGAAAGGGAGCTGCATTTTACCAAGTCGCCTGTGAGGGGCAGCAAAACACCAGCGGCGTGAAATCTGCCGGAAATTGAAGGAAGAAGAAGAAGAAGCAGCAGCAAAAGACACGCTGCTGTTCTGTCTCAGGTTACCAGAGAGTTGCTTTCTCTCGTCTGTGGATCTATTGTGGTCATCGCTGACATCCGTCCTGTGTGCCAGCTGGTGAAAGAGGAGGAGCGTTTACATGCTGCATGAAAACAAAATAAACTCGTGGAGGTTTATTTTGGTAAGTGCCTAAGACAATGCGTCAAGTGGACCAGATGAGGAACAAATTCATGTCTCCACCAGCTGACCACCACGTTTAAAATCGTGTTATCCTGTATACTGCTGATCACTCATAAGTTAGTCATGGATGCTCATGATATTGTTAAGATTGAAGACATAACAGACTGTAGCGATGCTGCTGCTGCTTGTGATAAACAAGAAGAAGTTTGTGACACATCGACAACAAAACAGCAAAGGAGAAAGAAGAGTGCAATCTGGAAATATTTCACCATCTGTGATGATGACGTGACGAAGGTGGCGTGCAACATATGCAAGAAAGTTGTGGGCAGAGGCAAGAATGTAGGACATCTAACCACCAGTAATATGCACAACCATATATACTACAAACATCGCAATGTGGCAGGCATCCGAGGCACTCAGAGCAGCAGGAGATCTCAGCCAACCCCAACGCCTCCTGCTTATGCACCTGATCGACCGGGTCACACGGTGACCCAGACCATCACTGACAGCGTGGGTGAAATGATCAGCATGGATCTTTTGCCGTATTCATTTGTGGAGAACAAAGGGTTCTGTAAATTCATGAAAGTGGTGGCGCCTCATTACACGCTGCCTGCAGGCATTCACTTCAGCAACAAAGTTGTTCCGCAGCTTCACCAAAGAGTAACATCAAAAGTGATCGAGAGCCTTGGGAACATTGAGGGCAATGTTGTGCACTGCACGGCCGATATTTGGACGAGAAAGTTCTCCACCAGCTCCTACCTTTCTCTCACAGGACATTGGTTTGTACAGAAGATAGCAGCGCGCGGGGCTGTGACACGCACACGTGTCAGTGCGTTGCTCGGTATGAAGCTCATCGACACAGAGTACACTCCGGCAGAAATCTTGCAACACCTCCTGGGCCTCCTCGAAGAGTGGCAAGCTGTGGTTCTGCACAGATTCACTGTTGGGTTTTTAGTCACTAACAACACTAGCAACATGGTGAAAGCCGTGTCAGAGAGTGGCGTTGAGCACATTAGATGTATGGCTCACTCCATACACTTGATTGTGACGGGGGCTATCGAAGAGTGCCACGGTGTGGTTACCGCAATAAACACTGCCCGACGAATCACCAACACTGTACACATGTCGACCAAATCCGTAGCCAAGCTGCACGAGATACAGGAGCGACTCGGACTCGCCGAGACCGCCTTAACTCACGACGTGCCGACCAGGTGGAACACAGTGTTGTTCATGCTGCAGCGGCTGCTGGAGCAGAAGAAGGCGCTGATCGATATGTCGGCAGAGATGGACCTCGGTGGGTCCCTCGCAGAGCACCAGTGGACTCTGATGGAGGCCATCGTCAAAGTGTTGGAGCCGTTTGAGGAAGCGACGCGCACAGTGTGCCAAGATGACGCGTCTATTTCCACCGTGATTCCGTGCATCCAGGCCCTCAGAGCTGCACTCAACGAACTTATCGCCAACAAGGATGTGAGTGATCTGTTGGAGACTCGCAAGCTGGTTGGCCTACTCCAGAGCCACCTCGAGGAACACTTTGAACATGTCTTTCAAACTCCCACCAACACTTATTTTAAAGCCACGCTGCTGGACCCGAGGTTTAAGATCATGCCCATGGCGCTGCTCAGCCAGCTGGACTTTGAGAGGTTGAAGGCCGCCGTGACAGTGGAGGTCGAGGAGTTGCTGGAGCAGGACAGGATGCTTTCAGCAGGTGACGCTGGCTCTTCATCAGGTGCAGCGCCAGAACCGGAGGACACCATCAGCAAGCCGACGAGCCTTTTCTGGGGTGCAATGCAGAGCCTTGTGGCAAATAATGCAGCGTCTTTGTCGAAGACGGTGACGTCGCTTGGTTTAGAGACCTACCTAGCAGAGAGCAGCCCACAGTCACTGGCCTCTGACCCGCTGTCTTCATACTGGTCAGCAAAGATGGCACAACATCCTGCACTGGCTCGAGTGGCTGTCAAATATCTGGCCTGCCCACCGACAAGTGTCTCCTCCGAGAGGCTCTTGAGCACAGGAGAAGACGCCGTTGCTCCAGATTACAGACTTCTCCCTGCCGATGTGCCGCAGCTGGTTTTCACAAAGTACAATCTGGCGAAATTTCCTTAACATTCTGTTCTGCTCTGTTGTCGTAAAGATGCGGTTACTCTTTGTCTTATAGGTGCTGCTCTGTTGGACACGTCATTGTTCAAACCTTGAATTAAGTTTGCTAAAATATAGAAACTGATGGGGCAAAAATGTGTTTATTATATTTCACATTGAGGGAGGAAACAGATGTCAAAGACAGTATGGTAGAAAATATATATTGATGCGTTTTAAATCCATAAGGATAATTGCTACTGGTCACATGGTTGATAACAGCGCTCCAATTTCAATCTTGATTTGAAACTGGATCCCAGCTGCCAGTCTTAAGACAAACACAGGATATGATGCGAGCTTGAACTCCAGAAGCTATAACTTATTCAGCAACAGTAAAAGGTGCAACTATACTGAAACTACTCATTAAGAGAGACCCCTGTGCGTCTCTCTCCGTCTCCTCTTTTGTTTTAGATACCATGGTGCCTTTTTGGAAACATTTGAAAGAAAGTTGCAGAGGGAGTTTAGGATGTACTCTTCAGATTTTATATTTGAAACATTGATACTTCATCAGCAGCAATTAGTGCAAACTTTAGAGACTATTTTGAGCAGCATTGCTGTTTTATACACAATTTGTTTTCATATAACTTCTTTTCAATTTGTCAGGCTCTCATGTGAAATCAAGCCCAATCTAGGAAATTGCCTTATAGCACTGTTTACTTTATTTGTTAATATAAAGCTATGTACATGTTGAAATTGCTTTGAAGACTCTATTTACTTAACTATAAAGAACAGAGAGAGCCTTGCAAATGGTAACAAACACCTTTTTAGATATTTTATGTAACAATAATAATTATTATTAAAATAGGATTTAACCTATTTTTAAAAAGGATAAATGAATACCATGCAAAATATATAATATATAAATAAACAGTATAATAGGTTAATTAACAGTGACATTAAATGAAAATAAATGGCTTAATTCATGTTTTTTAAATTATAGTTTAAAAAAAAAAAAAAAGTTCAATGAAAGACACTCAGAGGTTTTGTTATGGCCAAACTTAACTAATATGCTGTGAGATGTAACAGGAACTCTCATTGTCCACTCACTTAAAAACACGGTGAAATTGATTTAGAAATACAGTACATTGATGTATTTGTTCAATGTTAATTGTCTACCTTCATATCAACTGATGCATTGATTTATGACCGTGTGCAAGGCTCTCCAGGTTGTCTCTACTTCTCTTTGATGCTGGCTATAATCAGCAGGTAACTTAAAGCATCTAAGCATTTGTATTACCATGCTAGTCACGACAAAGCCAATACATCATCTGATTGTCTCTTTCAACTTATTAATGTACGCGTCAATCATCTCTCCTGCTTTACTTTGTGTTAAAGTCACAAATAAATCACAGCAAAATACAGTTCTGCCGTTGCAGACAACATTTTGATACTTCTTTAGGTATCAAATATAGAAAATTGCTGAAAGATCAGTAGGATCTCCAGAACAGTGGCATCTCTACTTTGTGCTCATGTTGAAAGTGTTTTGCGGGCTCTTTCAGTGCATGTCGTGTTGTTGTTTTTATGTCACAGTGATCTCCTCCAGCAGATCAGCAGGGAAGTAGCCCAGCTTGCGTCCAGTGCTGACCTTCAAGTAGCCGCCTTTCTCATCTCCTTTCTTTACAACAATCTGAAACACACCGTGATAAGTCCTTTACAGATTGACCATGCATGAAAACAAACTTGGAAAGTTGCTCACATTAGTGTAGTTATACCTGATCTTTCTTCAGTGTGATTTGCCCCATCTCTCTGTTTCCTACAAAGGAACGTAGCACCTTGAAAACTCTTTCCGATGCACGCACTTTTATGAGGTAGTTGGTGGGGAAGTAGCCTGACTTCTCCCCCATCTTTCCCTAACAATAGAGCGAGAACAGACTTTGAGTTCATCCGCCACAAGAAATTGGAACAAAAAGAAGCACACGACTTTATGTGGTTGACTGCAGACAGCGGATTTCAAAGTGAAAACTAAAAGAATCGAGAGATGATGAAGTTCAACTCACCCTCCACCACTCTTCATTGGAGTCATCCAGTACTGTGATCCGATCCCCAGGGCTAATACACAAACACACAATACATTTCATTTATCACTGCTTTTTTAGTCGTCAAATACATTACAGTTTAAAAAAAGTGTACTGAAAATGAGGGTAGGTTTGAATAGGCCATGCTATATACTGTTTGTAATAACTGCATGTTGGGCATTATATGCGTCTTTCAAACATACTGGAAGTCGAGGTCGTCTTTCTCTATGGCCTTGAAGCGGTAGAGAGCCAGGTAGTAGTGGGTCTGGGAGAATGTACCCTTGCTCTGTTGACAAAACAGCACTGATGCTACTGCATATGACAACAGATTTATAATGAACACATGTACACATACAGTAATACAGCTGGTGGACCAGGGCAGTACTTTTAGTTTACTTTTAGTCAGTATTTAGAACTTTTACTTGAGTAAAAGTAGTACTGTGTTACAAGTAAAAGTCCTTTATTCAAAAAACTAGTAAAAGTACAAAAATATTAGAATCAATATATACTTAAAATATCAAAAGCAACTCAGTTTAAAGACTAGCCCATTTCAGAATAATATACAATATGTTACTGTTCATTGATGTATTTGTCATTTCAATAATTATACTAACCTGATTGATAAATTAAAATAATATATTAGAACCTATTGGGTAACTTATGTTTAACTTATGTTAAGAAAAAAGTAACTAAAGCTATAAAATAAATGTAGTAAAAGGTACAATGTTTCCCTCTGAGATGTAGTGGAGTAGAAGTTTAAAGTATCATAAAAAAGGAAATGCTCAAAATTGTAATTGTTTAGTTAACATGTTTCTTACCTTTTCATCTGCTTTGTCTCCTCCTTTCTCCTTCTTATCATCAGGCTTTCCTGTAGGAACATCGGACATGATGGACCCAGTAACTCAAAAATATGTTATTTTACGTGTCTTCACTAGTGGGGGTATGTCACATTCTTTGTCTTTTTAATGTTTTTTTCCAAATTTCCTGTGGTCTATACAGAACACGTTACCTTCTCCTCCTTCCTCATTCTCTTTGGGCTGTTGGTTGTTCTCCTCTTCTTCTTCCTCCATCATCATCATGATCTAGAGGGAAAAAACTGTTTATCACAACTGTACTCAAATATATTTCATATCCATTCAAAACATTCATTTTGCTTTAATGCTGTTATGTCTAGATTCCTACTTAAATAAATTCCTCTACTGGTGTTGGTTAATGAATGAGTGAAAGACATGTAGAAGTTTTATCTGAGGATTTTAGGTTTTGCAGTTGGATTAAACATTTATTGCACACTCACATTTTTCTTGTCATTTTCATTCTTTTTGCGCTCCTTATTTGCCATAATGACGCCGACCCGCAGGGTGTCAAAGACGGGGTCGTTCCGGTTCGGGTTGTCTGGTTACGGACAAAGTAGTTGGCCAGATTATTAAATGAAAGTGCTGCCAACTAGATTACACACTTTCACAAATAGGCTGTACTCTTTCACAACCAAAAATGAAAAGAAAGAAAGGTTAAGAAACCTAGACAGCCATGACACATATTGGTATTCGGCGGACTCACTTGGATCTGCTATGTCGCTGCTGTACAGCGGGGAGCTGTAGGCCCTTCTGAAGCCAGGTGGCTGCAGGAAACAAACAGAGCATCTTGTTTCCAACCATTTTAGTGATGAATATCTGTCTCACCAAGGGTAAGGTCATGGGAATATGGATATGTTTTATTGCTCTTCAGAGAGGGAATAGGACTCACAATTTTGCCAAAGCACTTCTGGAACTCGACATAGGACTGACATGAATGGTGGATGTTGGTCTTGCAGTTTCTACACCTCAGAGCAAACTTGTTGTTCACTGAAAAATAAACATTGGGACAGCAATAGCGTAAGCCAGTATCAAGCATTATATGTAGAAAATAAATGACATGTATAAGACAGCATAATGTATCGTTGTTGACGTTTTGTGTGTATATTTTCTTGACATAATTACCAATACATACAGACTATCATGCGAGCGCAGACGTCACAGAACTTGGGTTTTTTGCAATAGTGGTCCTTGAACTTGTGGGGTTTGTCGTTGATCCGGAGTACAGGAGGAGGAGGTTCTGGTTCCTTCTCCTCCACCTCCACCTCCTCGTCATATATAAAATAGACCTGGACACACAAAAGGTTATTTTAAAAACACCACACAAGGGCAACGTGTTGCTGCTTCCAGGGAAGCATAGCCTGCAGGGGTAAATCATTTGATTAATAGGGACAGTGATTAATTGTCAAATATGTATGAAATATATTTGGACATGTTATCTTGATGTCCCCATTGTTTGAAATCATACTGCATATTTTCCATTATGTAGAGTTTTGTCTCTATAAAAATTGTTGGTTTGAAAAATAATGTACCCACCAAAACCAATGACCAGTCCAGAGACAATATGATAAACTCTCATTGAATGTGCACTTTAAAAAAGAAAAAAACATTACCCTTCAATTGGATTTGACTGCTGCATTGAAGTATTCTAAAGATGTGCACACACTGTCATTTACACAGTTCAGCTTCATCTTTTACTTTAAAGTGTTTTCTAACCCTATACGTCCCTCACAGATCAGCCTTTGGGTGGTAAAAGACAGATAGTCAAGGCTCTTATTTTCACAATTGACGCTGCACTGCGTTCCTGTCCCAGCTGGGGGCTATTTTAAACCAGGCCGGGAATGGCACCGCTAACAGTGGGGGGTTGACGTGGTCCTGTCACTCACAGTGTCTCCTTCCTCTCTCACTACGTTTTCAGGAGCTGGAGGGTTGTCATGGATATCAACAGAGTTTTTGTCATCCTCCCTGACACACACACACACACACACACACACACACACACACACACACACACA